TTTTTATTTAAATAAGTTGCATTTCAAATGAATTTCAAAGGTCTTAATTAAATTCACAGATCTGGTCTTGAATAATGTTCTTATAAGAGATACTTATTTTCAATTTATCTATATTTTTGACCATTTTTACATTCTAAACGCTTCGGATGCTCATCAAACAGCCAGTTCAATAAWCGCTGTGTAATGCTTAATGCTTATAACAGCTCGGAAATGTATTTTAAGTGCGAATGAGTGTTGATGTTTGATTCGAATAAAAAAAAAAACGAATAACTGTTTACAACCTTGCAGTATTTACAAAATGTATTTATAACGTACCATGCATAGGTGGTGTAGGTATACAATAAGACATGGGTAGGTAGTACTCATCGAATATATACATATTTAACGTGCACATATTATATTATATTATATATAAGTACATAATATGTATAATAATACCTTATGTCACGATAAATTCCATTGGCCGCGATGAAGTACTGAAACATTTAATATACTACTAGAAATACCGACGACCTGCCTGGTATATAACAAAAGTATTATCATGATAATCGTTAAATAATATTATAAAAAATAAGTACGCGCATATTTCACGAATGGATCTGATTACACAGTTGGCTAGTTGACACACACACGGGAAAATTAATTTACCTATTTTGTTTGTGTTCCATAAAGGAATCCCTAACGATAAATCCTGCAGCAGCACATCACTATGTGGATACTTATAAAGTTATAACTTATGATTAGGACTGGAATTAATAAATAATTATTCGTATTCTTGCTCGTTAAACGTTTGACATATTATAACAACATTTGAAATTTTAAACAATTTTTTTGAGGGACATGTATGTTTTGTGTGAAATAATTGAAGTACTTAAAATAACTGATACTCACGTCGCACTATATTAAAATTATATACTAATTTTGGATGGACGTTTGTATGTTTTCGTATACGATTTCTCAAAATTGAAACCTTCTGCTTGCTATAAAATGCTACTGTATATTCTATAATTGTACAATTCCACTAATTTCTCCATTTTCTTGCATGGGCATGTTCAAAGAATTTTAGAAACCTACCTACAAAGAATTTTGTAAGTTTAATTCGGTTAACATCATAAAATTTTATAATTCTTTCATAGGATTTCGTATCACATTATTTGATATTTCGTTGTTAGTTGATATTGAAACAACAATTTTTAGAGTATTTCAAGTCTATAATCATATTAAAATGAATTTAAATCAATATACTTTGATAGAATTTTTATTTTCTAACGCGTAAGTACGAGTACATTATAGTCATTATATTATATATATATATATAAAACAGTTTTATTCGTACTTAATTATTCTTACATTCTTTTGAATAATAATTAATGTAGGTACCTATATTAAGCAAGAAATCGGTGAAACCCAAACAAATTTTATCATCAGTCATAGATTTAGAAAACGTGTCAAAAAATGAATCATGGTATTAGTATGGTTATGTCTTATTTGATGGTAAAATTCAGTATTTAAATTTTTAATTTACTAAAAAAAAAATAGCTTATAGGACAATTTGTACATTGCTTTACGACTCAAATATTTCTAAAACGCACAGGTAACACTAGAAGGCTTTATTTTTTTTAATTACACACTTTGTTTGTCTATTTATCTAATAACACTACAGTAGGTCATAAGACACAAACCAGTCTCGTCGAGTAAATAGGAAAAAAAAATCAACAGTAAATCACGTTCAACAATAACACCATTGTGTTCTCAACAGAACGTACAAAAGCTTCGAAAAGGGCGTAGTTCATACATATTTGGGCGCACGTGTCTAGAAATGTAATGCCAAGACGATTTCCGATTCCAATAATGCGTATCTAATACATCTGTACCGATGTAGGTTCGGTATGCGTGGACATATTAATCAGTTGTACAAAAATGACACAAATCAAAATTATAACTATAAAAATGATAAAAAAAAATGTAAGAATATTGTAAAATAGGTAGGTACGTGTATATAGGTTTAAGATAGGGTATTTGATTAAAATAATAATGAGATATGTGAACTACCGCTAAGTACACGTAAGAATTAGACGTTTTTCCTAATTCGACCTTGATGGTATTTAACACTGATAATAATTATTTCAATTAAAAATAATTATGGTAAATATTATTTATTATTTATACACGGTGCAAAAAACCGCTATAAGTCCAATAATTCGATGAAAATAATATATCGTCGTAATATATATATATATATATATATTATATCTGTTAAAATACCTAGCACTGTGGCAGAGTATACGAGGACAAACGTGCATCAAGCATATTATACATGATAAGTATACAAATAAATAATAATACATCTGAACCAAGAGTCGACTAAAATGTGCTGTAATAACGATAAGGATCTATCGTTAGATCATTAACGGAGATACGTCATATTATATTATAATATTTGTTACACTTGAATAATAATACAACGATTCTTTGTAATSAAACAATATATAATTATAAACATTAAAAAGTCACTGAAGAATACATTTTTTTTGTTTTGTTCGAAGATGGTAAAAAACCAAGTGACCAAGAATAAAAATGCCCCTTCGTCTGCTGTGACCTTTTATTGTAATAAAAAATATAAAAAGAGTTATTGGGAGGTAGAACCTTGGAAGTAATTACCATGCCACGGTATAATTAAAAAGTAATGATAATTATACTGTTCAAAATATTGTTAATACTTCATTTAATTTTGTAATGCAAATTTTTATAAGACCAGTGTGGTTTTTTAAGCAATCAGGTTTATTATAATTTATCGTTGTATGACATTATGTTGATAATAACTATATTATTTACAAATTATATCGCCTATCGGAAATATTATGAACATGTCTATACTATATATTTAGAAATTTATAAGCATAGTATTTTTAAGTTTTGTAAAACTCAGATGCGTTAAATTTTTTTTAAATAAGTAAGTACTGTAGAGTGTAGAATATAGTTATTGAAATTCATAGATAGCTTTATATGGTCTATGATGGGTAACATTTTATAACTATATGTCTATATAAGTATTAAGTATAATACTTTATGTGATATCTATATTATTCGAAATAATAAAATATAACGAACAATCAATTATTAAATAAAATTGAAAAATGTTTTGTTTTAAATAGGTACCTATATAAATATCAAATTTTAAACTTAACACTAAATATAGCCATTTGATCAATATACGAATAATAAATGAGTATTTACAGCACATCCTATAATGCTACTCCAGTAAAATATGTACAATTTTCAAACCTAATTAAGTATTAGTTAATAATGTTTGATATTCAACACTTTAAATATGACCTCAACATTTAACTGAAATTAATTTAATTATTTTTAAAATTATTTGGACACTATCTAAAATCGAAGTTCACGTAACTATATAAATTTTGATCGATTTGCAAAATCATCGCCCAAGGCGTTAAACTATAAAAAAAAGATTATGTTAAGTTACTATAACAAACCAGTTCTATCATAGATACCTACTCGGTGAATATTTTATTAATAATACTGTATATTCAATATTGTATCATAATGTTTACAAAATCACGAATTATCATTATTATAAGTTATTATTATTATTATTATTATTTTTATTGAAAGAGAAAAGAGGCTTCAACAACTAAGGTTATTAGTCTTGTGTAGGTACATATTAAATTGTGTGAGTTACATTATAATGATTAAAATTAAAAAGTTACAATAGTCTTAAATTACGAATACATGTTAGTTAAAAATTATTTACAATGTTAATTTGTGTGAGAAAATTTAAGATTTTTATGTTGTTGTCTTCATATAGAGAGCTTCTTCTAAGTTGTTGGGTATTAATAAGGTATTTCGGATGTTTTGAAGGTCTGGACAGTTTAGAATGATGTGTTGAATGGTTAGGTTTTCTTGGCATTTATTACATATTGGTAGTGGATCTTTAATGATTAAAAATTAATGGGTCAGAAAAGAATGTCCAATTCTCACTCTGGCTAGAGTGACTTCTTGTTGTCTGTAATTATGGAGATGGTCCCACTTCTGAGTACATTTTTTGATTTTTTTTTTTAATTTGTTGGAAGGCAGAACAGAAACTATTATTTATTAATATAGAGTTTGAAATAATGAGAAATAATTTTACTTTAGATTAATTTGTATTTTTTTGTTTATTCGAAACCATCAGATATATTTCCACCAAAAACATAATCGACAAAGAATTTACTATAATAATTATATTTGACGTAACAATTATGTTTAAATTATCCGTAACAAAATAATACTACTTAACCTTTATAATACAGAGCGTAGTGATGCACTACTATAGGTGCATATTAACCTACGTAGTAATCATAATGGGTATTTTATTATTATTTCAATATGGAAATAATAATTGTTAGGGAATCAATAATTGCATTTTGGACAATAACAATAAATTTAATATAGGTAAGTACCTAAAAATTGACTCATGGCTTTTTATATATTTTAATATTTAGTTGGTACTTTCAAAAAAATAATGATTCAATTATTATAGACCATCTATTTCCAGAGAAAAATTGTGCAGAGATTTTGTTTAAATTTTAAAATATCATATAAAACGATCTTACTATGTATCCACAAACAATATAAAGTACTAAGTACTTGAATAATTAAAAAGAAAACAAAAGCATTTAAAAAACATTATTGACCATGGCTGGTTTGAAGCTCGTGTAGCCAATCAAATAAAAAACAAAATAATCTACWTCTATCATAGCATATTTATATATACTATACAATCAAAACTCAAACGTAGCGTAGAAGCTTATAAATCTATCTGTTAATGAGGGGAAAATAATTATTATCCCGTGTATGCAAGCATCTGTCATGGAACGATATTACAATAATAAATAATAATAGTATTGTCATACTGCTTGTCTGGTTCCCAAGTGTAAAATATGTTTTTTAATAGGAGAAAAAATCGGTTTCAATAAACCATAAGACTTTCTACTCACTTGCAAAGTATACTGCCAAAACATCCAAAACTACTTCCGTTGGCTACGAGACGCGAGTACGAAACGGTCATAATTTCAAAGAGCGTAAATCCTCACGTAGATCGCGTATCCATCAAACACCACGGACACACATCGTCACATATTATTACTATTATTATTGTTATTTAAATCACATATTATTTAATTATTGTGTGATGGATCGCACAATGCCGTTCTGCGACGAACACGACTAAAATAATGTGTGTGTGTATAGATTACCAGAGGAATATCACAAAAACGTCGAAGATTGATGAACTGGTTGTTTTTTTTTCGTTGGTTTTATTGACGATAAAAAAAATATATACTCTTATATTATTATGCAACAACACTTAGATGACATAATATACGTGAAATAATGACAAACTCGACGGATATAAAATCAATACAATACAATATGAATACGAACAGATATTTTATTATTATTATTTCTACTACACATACGCGCGCGCTCGAACTCGCAAATCTGTCGTTCGACTTGCCGTGCGTATGGTTCTGCCACTTCTGTCGGCCAGACCATCATCGGACTCCGTTTGCGTTATTTTCACTGCTCTCCCTCCATTTGTCCGATCATTTTATGTATCGAAAACCTGCATGGTGTACCGGTGTAGTGTATAAGCTATAGTATGGGTAGGTACAGGTAGTACTATAGGTAAGGCAAACGCTACCATTATTATTATTATTATTATTATTATTATCATCATCATCACGATGCATTCTAGGTACCATATTATATGTATATATATATATATATATATATATATATATATTATGTTCAATGGTTACAATTGGCATAACATTTTCTATAATGTTTAAATTATTATAATATAACAATACGCGAATGTGAGTTTAATATGTAATAATAACAGATACGCGTAGGTGTGATGTATTGAAATTGAATTAAGTGCCTCCGCGGTGGTGTTTGTTGCTTAGGAATATTATCATGTTGATCGGCGGAGGGCCTACGATAACATCGGACGATTTAACAATAATATTTTAATACATAACAACTCGAATGCAACAGCCATAATATAATTATACTATATTCACGGCGACGTTCTTCGATGTTTTCTATTTACCCCGTACAGAGCAGGCCCTAAACCTAGCTATAATACATAAATATATTGTTATTTACCGCGTATATTGTGTTACAGTAAAAATAAGCCTATACGACGACGACACAAGTCGGTATGTCGAAGCTAATATTATATAATATGTAAATAGGAACTTCGTACTCGGCTACATGACTGCGAAGGCATGTAACGATATAAATACAATATTTATATAGGAAGGTAGGTGATACTTAAAATGTATGCGAACTGCGTACGTCTATCCGAATAACAGGAGTTCATTTTTTCTCAGTCTATATTCAGTCGGTGTTAACATTCCTCTGAAACACACACCGATAACAAAGTTCATTAAAAACCATCAGGGAGACACTATTATACATAAATTTATGACGTAGATATAGTATATAGGTAAAATAAGCAAGTAGGTCTATAATTGGCACTCTCGTTATTGTATAGGTACTATACAATATGACCTGCGGCTACGAGCACATTGAAAAATTGTAAAAAACACGGTTATTCTAAATAATAGGAAACATTACAGTATTAACTATGCAGCTATGTGAATGTGAAAAATACTCTCCGCCATGTGAAGATTGGATGAAGACAAATAAATTTGCAATGGGAGAATCAATTTAACATTGTTTAATATTAATTAATACAATACCTACATTAATTTTCTAGTAATGTTATTGTAAAGTAGTTATAATTTTGCGACTCGACTCGTTCGTATATTATTTTATAGGTATACGATAATATGCACACTAGCACACTTATTGTGGGACAGGCTACTTACATGATATAATATATAGCCACAAACCCACAACTAAGGTAACATTTTTAGACTAATTCATTGGATAGAATACTGAAATATAAAGATTTCCGCTCCCTTTAAATAACAAATTTAAAATACATCAAAATTAATAATATAATACAATTGCAAAGATATTAGGTAAATATACTAGTTGATCATAAACTGTGGTAAGGTGTCTTGCGCATGATGTACCTACATATAGATTAAAGATTTGAAAAACAATTTTGTTTCATACCTACCTAGCACCTTCTATCGTTTAATCCAATGTTTTACTATTTGCATCACCGAGAATAATTTTTTACACGTAGCAGATGGCTGTAACTGGCATAATATATTTTAATGATGTAAACTACTTGAATAAATTTGTTTAAATCGGGATGAAGATAATCATTAGGTATTTACTTTTTAATTATTCTAAGTGATGATCAGCGTGTTTAACATTTTTTTCACTCATAATCTCTGCTATATATTTTTATGAATTGAAAAAAATGTGATACCGAAAGTTTGGGAGTGCTAAATGTTAAGCACTCCTTAACCCCACGACCATACTCTATCGATGCGCTAATTCCAAGTGTACCAGTGCACTGTACATATATATATTATATATGGTATAGATCAAGTATAGATCGTATATAACAGCACAGCAACGAGTGATATACTAATTATACTATATATATATTATTATAATATACTTTCGAATAATATTCGGCACAAACCGAACCTCAATACGGTATCAAAAGTGACGGACACTCCTTTAGCCGTCATTTTTTTGAAAAGAGCCCAGCATTCTTTCTCTTTGTCGGACTTCAGCATCGGTTGGCCGTCGAGTACATCGCAACGGACGTCGATCTGTGTGATCTCCTTGTCTCGCAGCATTTCTTCATCGTCGTCGCTGTCACGATTAGAAATTACGACTTCTTTTACGACCGTCCCATCGTCTTCATCATCATCCCTGAAATTAAACGTTAACCTTGTATTTTAATTTTACTACTTCAAACAATCAATATTATAGACGCAAACGAGACGTACACGACATGGTCGAATTTCATCTTTCGTCTGTCCCTTTGGTATAGCGACGATAAAATAACTATATAATATTACATAACAATAATATTATATACCTATAACGATGGGGTACAACAGAAGTACTACCAAAATTTCGATGGGGTAATTCTGACAAGGTAAGATAATCACGTGACACACGTATCATAATATAATAGTATGTCATTTTACAATCACATTCGGCGTATTTTTCCCCATTTATATGTTATTATAGGTATTTATAGGTACATCGATATAGTATAAGTACATCATAATGTATATGTTAGGTGTATAGTTTGTCGTGTTTACACGCAGTAAAATTATTGTGGAAACTCGGATAATTTTCAATAAATTGAAATTATGGATGTATAGCATGCCGACCATACAATATGTAAGGTTTCATAATGTAGGTCATGTCGTTAAAGAAATATATGCGATTTTAACTATTACAAAATAAAGATATCTTCATAGTCCATGTGTTATACTAGATATAATAGCAGTGTATCATCTATAAAATTCTTAAAGTACCTATAAAATACTATTAAAAGGTAAACATGCACGTTATGACATGAAGCAAATATATGATATATTATCTTATGATAAAATATATAATATAATATGTACATTGTACATACATATATCATGACAAATTATTTTCTGCAAACACGATTTGAATTATAACATTATTCAATTATTTTTATATCTTCAAACTCAACCTTACATACATAACGCATTATATCTATTAGCAAACAAAAAAAATGGTTATTCATGTAAAAAAATAATATTAAGTTAAATGTAATATTTATATCTTTATTGAAAAATACAAACCAAAATTATTAAAAATTTTATAGAAGCTGAATGCCTTGTAAAATATAACTTACAATTCTTTATTGTAAATTTGGTTATCTAAAGCTAGGCGTAACGTTTTTGTTTGAGAAAAATCTCAATGTATATTACATTATTATATTATACTACGAGTATATAAAATCAATATTATATTGCAACGTAAAATAGGCAGGTTAGTTCAAACATTTTACATCAATTTACAATTTTCTATTTTGTTTTTAAGTTAAAATTAATAAATAATATTTTTATATTTAATTTATGATCTAATTTTCATTTTAAGCACTTATACTACATTTTATTGAAACAAATAACTATGTACACTAAGTTAAATCTATATGAAAATAAATATTTTTATTATACCTTGTCATATCTACTGTTCTTGATTTAATCAATGATTTTCCAACACGGTTATTGAGAAGTTTTGGTTTTCCAATCGATGTCATTGCACTATCAAATGATTTTTGATGATAACGCATACTGTTATTAAATTGAGGAAATGTAACTATAAAATAATAAAATAATATTATTATAAATTTAAAAAAACGATTTTCTCGAATTAATTTACGAATTTTTGTTGAATTCGCTTAACTACTGTTTGCATTGGTGTTTATTAACGCAGTTTTAGTTGATTTAATTAAATGCATGTAAAAATTATTCTTTTAAAACTTTTATAAGTAGCTTAAAAACTAAAAAGTTTTAGCATAACGTTTAAACATGAGCACAAAAACTTTATTTGTATTTTGTAGTTGATAACGTTGTTAACAACAAGTGGATACAAAGTTCAATAAATAATATTTAAATACAATTTCACTCGAACTCGTATCAATAATAATTTACACTTAAAAATATTCTAGCTGGAATAACTTTGGATTCTGAACCAGTGTTGCCCAACCCGTGGTCTATATGTTTAGAGTCTAAACTATATTAAGAAATCGGAAAGAATTATTTTTTAAGCAAAACAATTGAACAATTTTAATGAAAAGTAAAAACACTCAACCTCAGTAAATTATACTTAAATGGCTTATTTATTCAAAATAATAAAATCTTATGGCTTAATATTAAAATTATAATTCCCAAAATTAATATACCTACATTATTTAATATATTTCATGTAAGCAAGAGTAAATCCAAGCAGGAGAACTTGAAGAAAGTGATTCTCTCCTCCCCGTTCACAAAAAATATAATATAATTTTTCATTAACTGTTAAAAAACAATATCGTAAAAATGTTTTTAGTTTAAGTGGCTCTTAATTTAACTATTTCAAGGTAAATACTTATTTTTATTACACAATGATGTATGCTCATAATGACACATTTACGAACCAGCTATCGAAAACTAATTTAATAAATATTCTTAATTTTATTGCATAAATATTAAACTTGTAATCAAAAACCGTATCAAAGAAAAAAAAGCGGGTAAGTTGTGGATGTCGCTCTGCTGTACAGTAGGTTACAAGTGGGTTACTGTAATGGATGAAATTACATTTGAATCCAATGCTATTATATCATAGTATACGAAAAACGATTCTAAGCGGAGACGGTTTATCTGTCTAGGATATATTATAGATTATAAAACATTTTTAAATCTTAGATTTAAAGAGAAAAATTGTTATGCATTTCTAGCTTAAAATAATTTACAAATTTTCGTGATTTTTACGTATGTTGTCAAAATTCAAACTTGAATGCTTATAAAAAAAATTGTGACTATATATTTCTTTTATTTTCAACTGCTATTGTAAAAATAAGTTAGGAGCCTTGTATTTAATTTTCAAATCTTAGATAAAAAGGAAATTTTTTATGAATTTCTAACATAAATTAATTTGAACATTGCCGTATTTTTTACGTATTTAGTCAAAATTTGAACTTTAAATGCTTATAAAAAAAATCGTGTCTATGTATTTTTAATATTTTTCAACTACTATTGTAACAGTGTGTTAGAAGCCTTGTATTAAATTTTCAAGCTTTTCTATTTTTATCGATACTAATTTAAAAAAAACTAATAATGATAAAAAATTGGAAATAACTATGAATAGTTTAACTTAAGTTGAAAATTTCATGGTGGATATAATATACTTATATAAACATTCGGTGAAAATATTATGTATCTATGTTCATTTGTATTAAAGTTACATAAAAAACCAAAATCGATGTTGTCGAAAACTGATTGTGCGTAAAATTTCTCGTTTTCCCCTTAATTTTTAGTTTGTTTATCCCGATTATTTAGAAAAATATTATGAATTATGATATTATGAATTTTTTACTTTTGACCTCTCAAAGTACCAACTAGATCCACTTTATGATCGAACGAGGCACTGAAGTCAAAAACCGAAGCAGTTTTACTGCCCCAAAACGTGATGAAAGACACAAAAAAAAAAATACACATGCTGGCAAAATCAATACATTCCTTTCTCCGCTCAGAATCTAAAATGAATTATTAATATATAATTTATTTGTATACGATATAATAGGATACTGGATATCACTATATAATTTATGAATAATTAAATTTATGTGGATTTGTTTTTTATATGTATGTATAAATATTTTTGATTATTATTAAGTATTTGATTACATTTTTAAATTTATTATCTAATATTTTAATTTACGTAAAATTATAAATTAGGCTACTTATTCAATTTGGAAAGGAATGAAAGTGTAAATTATAACACACTAGAATATCGTACATTTTTTGGACCAAACGATCTGTATATATAAGGTTTTAAATTTCTATCATTTCAACCAAATTCGAAGATAATCGAATGATATTCTAGTTAGTTATTATATGTATTAATATTATTAGTTAATTATACATATTTTTTATTTTATTTTTAAACCAGAAAATGTTACAATCTGTAAAACGATGATTTACAATTAGTACAAGTGAACATAAAGAAAAGATAAAATAACAAACAATAAGTTAAATTATATTACAATTATTTACATAGTTAAGTAATTTAAACAATAACTTACCCGTTTTTGTGGACACGTCATCGGGTGTTGGCGATTCCTCTACATCACTGCCAACTGGACTTAAAAGTGACATCATCGTTACTACTTCAACATTTTGATTCTTTTTGCCAAACTTTTGAGCAATCGGTAGACGGCTATCAACATCAATGCTTTTATGGAAAGCTTTACTCCTACAAGATTTCAGCTTCCTGGTTGGGAATCTATGTACATCTTGAGATTTTCTCCGTGAACTTCCTGAATAAAGTCCTTGTGTAGGGTTCACGCTTTGTTGCCTCGACGAAGGCGCCGACATTGCTCTAGCCAAAGTTTGCCTTTCATTCTGTTGTTGTTTCGCAGTTTTATAAAACCTAACTCTTCTTGCGGCAGCTGAAAGAGGTTTTTCTTCCTCACTAGAGTCTTCTGGTGAATTTTCATCTTCTCCCTCATGGTTCTGGAGCTGTACTTCCAACGCGGTACGAGTAGGGTCCCTTTCCTCTTCTTGTATTGATGACTCTTGTACATGATCAATAGATTCCATCAAAGGGTCTTCGATAACATTTCTTGCCAAATAAATATTAATACACGATTTTGACTGTTCGCGATCGATCCATGCCTGTTTTATTCTTTGTGCAAATTGTTCTTTGGATTCATGTAAAACTTCCGGTTTTAAACATACTTTTGTCGGATTCGCTGTGGGTCTAGATTTTTTTTCATTTTTTAAAAGCTTATTTATAGAACGGGAAATTATTTCTGTACTACAATTATTATCTGTTTCAGTTTTATTGAAATTAGAATCTTTTTGTAACCATGCTTTTTTTGACAATATTTTTTTTTCATCATGACTGTCTGCGTAAACGTTTGACAAAGTTTTGGACTTTTGACTATCAGTACTGTATTTATTAATTACGTCTTTAGACATACCAAACAATTTTGAATTCACCTAAAATGTGTAATATAAATATTCTTAGCTACAACATAATATATTAGTTAATTGCCCATACATATTAATTCCTAGGTACCTGACCAAACAAGAACATCGAGAACTATGTGAAAATGTAAACATTAATTTCCATTTTGTTGATGCAATAATTTAATCATGCTGTAATTTCTATTACCAACTTGATTACGATAAATGTTATTAAAATTAAAATTAAATAAATAATAAGAAGAATAAGCTGATTCACAAATAATAATAACAAAAATTAATAACTGAAGTGATTAAATGAAAAAAATAATGCTTCTATACCAATTTGTATAATATATTATACTAACAACATTGTAATTTCCGATTGGCGTTAATTAATTAATAAATTAATAAAACCCTACTTCAAAAATTAAAACGTGAATGCTGATTTTACGTTTTGTAAAATAGTAAATAATTTTTTTTTATTCATGCCATTTATTAATTATTATTTATTACACACTATTAATAACCAATTATAAATATTACTTAACGTGAAAATATTTTTGTTAATGGGAAAAATATATTTATCATGAGAATAATATAATATAAACTAATATTTAATATTGTTTTATATATGTCCGATATATGGATGCCGGATGCGTATATACAGTGTGATCACGATAAGTGGAAACACTCAATAA